TAGACATAACCTCTTGTTGTGAGCGATACGTGGGGATTTTGACGAGTGATTTAGGTTGCGTGCATTTAATCCATAGATTTTTTAGTACATGATGGGTATAATGAAATACAACTCCTGACGAATTATTTCTCGTACTTTATTTACTTGTCATGTGTTTTTCTTTTTGCATTTTTATCTTAAACCATTCAAACCAAGATTAGAAACGTAGAGATTATCGAACGACATTCTTTCCCTCGCACCGATCCCTGTGGAGACGACATTCTTTCAAATTTTTTACTTTTTGTCGCTATACTGCAGTTTGAACAGACTCCCTTAATGTAAAGTCAATTAACCACTTCACCTTTGAGAGGTTGTGTAGTGATGTATTTGTGAATACCCACAGGGGGTATCATATCGTCCACGAGGGAATTACATCGCACTAACGCGTATCACTAGCCCTAAGTAGAAAAATGTGGGAGTGATGTGTATTTGTTAAAGATGGTGCATAAAAGAATTCAAGGGAATAACGTACGTCTCCCTTGAAAATAGGGATTCAACGAACTACTACAATTATGAGGGTGGGTGATTTCTATTTTTGAGGAACCCTAAATCCATACCGATTGGCCTCTATAAATATCTCAATACAAATACCCCAATAATAAAGTTTTTCACCATCGTTAAGTTGCTCTAACCTCATAAAAACACCTTTAAAACAAGGCTCTTCACCCTTTTAAACTTACTCTAATCTCATATATATATATATATATATATATATATATATATATATATATATATATATATATATATATATATATATATATATATATATATATATATATATATATATATATATATATATATATATATATATATATATATATATATATATATATATATATATATATATATATATATATATATATATATATATATATATTCTATGTGTTATTTAATATTATTATTCTTTTTCATCTCATATTTCATGAATCAAGTACCATCTTGATAATTTCAATTACTATCTTTTTTGAAAATTTATTTCCAAAATTTTCAAAAAATGTGTGGTTAATATATAAGTAAAATGATTCGCTTATACCTCAAAATTTTGGAAAAAATGTGTGGTTGGAACCAGTAATGTAATTGTTGTTATAGTCCAACTTAATCTCCAGACTCCCATTCCATTGTAGCTTAACATTTACTTGTACCGAAGTTCTCTGCATCTATGTTTTCAGAACTGATTTGAAATGCTGGCAGAAATGACAGTTACATGGTTTTGGTGGTGATCACAGATCAAATCCCATATGACACTGCATAGAACTTTCCTTGAAGAAGAATCTTCCCAAAAAAGATGAAACCTATACGCTATAACTATAGGCTATAGCATAACAAATTAAAATGTGGTGACCTTGAACTAAGTAGACACTGCATAATATGAAAATGTGTGGCACATCAAACAGTTAGATATTTTTGTGTTATTTGTAGCTTAGCTGTGAAATTGACATGACCATAGATGGACATTTTCCTACACGATGTATGTTATTACTTATTGCACTTAATGTTGGAATTATTGTGTTATTTTGGCTGTGAAATTGAGGGCAGGTGAGTTCTTGAGTAGACACTTCACTAACATAGGTGATGGGTCTACTTTTAGTTTCTTCCTCTTGTCAAATTTGAGAAATAATATTAAATAAATAGTATACATTAAATAAAGATAATGTGATAAAATATCACATGATTTTAAAAATTTAATGAAGATGCAAATGTGCTAAATTTAATACATTGTATTAGCATATCCTATATCATAATCAACGTGGGATTAATATGGATTTTGATTTTTTAAAGTCGGTTAGGGATTTTTATATTTTTAAAGTCGGTTAGAGATTTTTTTTATAATAGGATTGAGTCTCTTCCGTTTAGGTATTTAGATCTGTCGGTAGGAGTCACCCTTCAAAAATATGGGTATGTAATCTTATTTTTTCCTATCTTTTTTAAAAATGATAATGAAGGTGCGGAAGAAACTAGTTAGATTTCAAAGGAGTTTTTTTTTTTTGGTGTGGTGTGAAAGGTGAGGACTAAGATCTCTTGGGTGAAGTGATTTGATGTGTGTAAACTTATGAGAAAATAAGGTTTCTCGAGCTAGTCAATTTGGCCCTCTTATCTAAATGGAGGTGGAGATTGATTTCGGGTGGCTCCGGTCTTTGGTATGATATACTTGCGGTTAGATACGATGATTCATTTGTTTTCTCTTTAAGTGAGGGTAAATCTTTCAAATTACACTCAGTTTCTCCTTAATAGAAATAAGGGTCTCTTTTAGGGTCCAAAAGAGAATATGATACTTAGAATTGGTTCGAGAAAAATATTAGTAAAAAAGTGGGATAGAGTATTCACACCTCCACCCTTGGATTGGGAGTGTACCTCTAAAGATCATATTTCAACGAATTTTTACCATCTCTCAAGTTTAAAATGGGAGTGTAAGGGGAGATAGGTCAATTGGTGGGTGGGAGGATTGTTTGGGATACGAGATGGAGAATATCCTTCTTCGTCCATGAAGAACCTTTGATTTCATAGTTTTATTCGATTCTCCAAAATGCTATTTTGTTTTAGGATAAAGATAAGTGAATTTGAAGGCATACTAAAGATTGTATCTTCTCATTGCCTCTGCTTACCAAATTCAAGTGGACTTCAATAATTCTCCTGCTCTCACCTATATGACGGATATCATGAATCTCCCACTTATTTAGAATAGTTGAGTTTTGTGTAAGGTGGTAATTTTCTCTTTGTAGCTCCTACTAGATAAATTTCTTTTTAAAGAGTTTTTTTCAAATATAAGGTTATTGTTAAACCAGTTAATGCCTCTTGTATTCTATGTGAGGATTGTCTAGAATATGTCTATCATTTTTTTATTACATATGTTTAAGCTTCGACAATTTGGTATAGGAATTTTAAGTGTATGGGATGGGTGGTAGTTCTCCCTAGAAATCCTATGATTCTTTTTTTAGATGTTTTAGGTAATAGGGTTATGATGATGGTGGTTTTGCTATAATTTGATATGTACTACTGTGGGCTATTTGGAAACTACGTAATGATCAGCTTTTTTTGGGTTGTTCAATAAACATAAAAAAAAAAACGTATAGGATAAAAGTATTTTTTTTAACTTGGAACTGATTTTTTGGTAGAATTATGGCAAATTCGCCTTTTTTCTCTGAGTTGTTTCAGAACTCTATCATGTATATCAACTAATAACTGATCAAAATTCATATCTAATTTAAAGGTTGTCATGTGATTTTAGTTTTCCTTTTTATGAATTAATTTTGTCATGTTGGTAATGGTTCCGACGATCTGAACTCTATATTTATTGTGTCTTTATCCTTTTTTTTTTATCAATCTTTTTAATTTTGTACTCCTTATACTAACTATAACAAAAGTATTTTGAATTTCTATCTTATTTTATATATATATGAAATTGATGATTAGAGAGTCGTTATCATATATGGCATGATGATAACAAATTAAAGTATTGAATAGGACTATAATGCCTATATAGAAACTAGGGAAGTTTGAGTTATTGTATCGCTTCCCATAATCAAGATTTCTTTGTCATGTATATGGATTTCTAGAGCTCTTACTGTGACATTTGTCCTCAACATTCAATAGTCGTGGCAAAGATATTACAATTATGCATATTGCTCAATAATTACTATTAAATTGGAAGCAATAATCAACACCTACCATGGAAACACTCACATTTGTCATGTTATTATTGAACAACTGAGGCTTAACAAAATGGAAACCCATAACCTATATATATATATATACTTGTTAAATTTCAAATTCCAACTTTTGTTGCACATATAGGTGTTTTTCAACTCAATCATTTTGTCTCAAATAACTTTGGGAGTCTCAAGAACTCACCATTCCTCTTTATTGTCACTTAACACATTATCATTCATCATTGAAGGTCCTCTTAACAGGATTAGTGATTTTAATGCTTGGTCGTGCATCATAAAAATTAACATGTACTATATTGTAAGGTACTAGAGTGAAAAACATGTATTTTCTCACTACAATATATGTACTTTTCATTATTTAAAATGAAACGTTACATTTATTAAATCTATTAAGGTGCTATCATCTATGTATATTATTGTGTTAAGTGATCTCCATGAAGAAAATGAGTGTTCAGTTTAAAGTCACTTGTAAGAGATATTTATGACGTTTGTTGAAAAAGTTAAACAATTGTTTTTAAATAAATGATTTATTTTTATTTGTTTTGACACTCGTATAACACTTACGTGTGTCGGACAAGTTAGACAAATATTTAAAAAATAATTTATTTTCTTCACTTCAACCTTCATTATATATTTTTTAAGACAAATCTTATAAGCATCTTAAAATGTTAAATATGAATTGAAACAATATTATCAAAAAAAAATAAGAAAATTTAAAGATGAATAAATAAAATTCAAATATCATAATTATTGTAGTGTCAGAGTTCTACATTTTTAATATTATCGATTTTAGAGAGTTTGTGTCTTGTCATGTTCGGTGTCGATGTCAAAAAAAGTTTTTGCTTATAACTTGACAAATATCTCAAACCATTGAGACAAAACAAGCACATGAGAGAGACCTCAGTTTTTCCCATAAATGGCTAGAACCTACAACCTGTCCTTGAAATTGTGTCAAACAAACAATTCAATCATGACACTCAATCAATCATAAATGTCTATAAATCCCTTCCTTTCCATCCTCCACTCTTCCATTCCTCTTGATATCTTGTTCAACTCTCTTTCTTCCTTCCCTTTCTTTAGTAACAGGTGTGTGTCTCATTTTCGAGCAGATTTGATTGCGATTACATTCGGTCTAGTTGAACTGAATCAGATCAGAGTTGAACCAGTGTGAACGAGATCAACTCTGATTCAACTCTAATCAGTTTTCAATTTACATTTTTTGTATAGTTTTAAAAGAAAAACATTACTATATAATTTTATAATCAACTCTCATAGTGTATATTTTATCTAAAGATCATGCAGGGCTTCAAGCTGAGTGATAGCAAGATCCTAAGGAAGATATTAAGCAGGAATTCATCAGAGACCAGGCAAGAAATTTCTAGTTCAAATCAAACATCAAAAAATTCATCAAGACAATTCTATCATCAAACCAAAAAGTATACATTCTTTTGAACAACTGTTTATGTAGTTTCTGTCTAATATAATTTTAGTACTATGTGAAAGAATCTGATATGAAAAACTCTTCTGAATTAGGATCTTTGTTGGTTCATGGAACATTGGAGGCATTGCACCACCTCAGGATTTAAACATTGAAGATTGGCTTGACACACATAATGATTATGCAGATATTTATGTTCTAGGGTAAATTTTTCTTCATTTAACACTATATTGTTGGAATTTGATTTATTTCTACAACTTCTTCAACAAAATATCAACCGTTGGATTAATCTGACAATTTAAAAAGTTAGACTAATGGTTAATAAATCAACATGCTCACCTGATTCTAATATGAACAAATCTCACGTTAGATTAATCTATCTCAAATAAAGACGAGACAGACTCTATTTCAAGCTTGGTATTTTTAGAATTAAAAATAAATAAAATTTGTTTATATTCAGCAGCGTCTAATCTTGATTCTACGATCACCGGTATGCTGACTGCATGAATTTATTATTGCAAAAAGCCCAAATTAATTGACTTGTATAATAGTTTTTATGTGAAAAACTTGAAGCAGGTTCCAAGAAATTGTGCCTTTAAATACAGCAAATGTATTAGGTCCACAGAACAAGAAAAATTCTATGAAGTGGAATTCACTTATTGGAGCAACCCTTAACAATAAAAAACCAATAAAGATAGTTGAAGAGAAAAAAGCAGAACCTCAGAAGATATATCCTATGAAGGAACAAGTTTGTGAAGAGTTTGAAAATGTTGATGATTTTCAATGCATCATAAGTAAGCAAATGGTGGGAATGTTCATTACTATTTGGGCAAGATGTGACCTTTATCAACCTATTCGACACTTGAATGTCTCATCTGTTGGCTGTGGGATTATGGGTTGCTTGGCGAACAAGGTTAGTTTAGAAACTGAATGAGCCGGTTCAATAGGTTGAATCTTGAGTCAATACTAGTTCGGTTATTTGAACAGTTTAATCTTAATCGCAATTTCATTTTAATTCAATCAATTTAAAACAGTTGAACCATGATTCAGAAGTCTTCCCAACTTGATATCTGATTCGGTTTTTAAAACACCAAGAGAAACAAAATAGATGTTTGAAAGTTTAGATGGTAATTTTGAATTGGAAATGAATTTTTAAATCTTTTATTGATCTAAAATGCAGGGTTCAATATCAATTAGATTTGTGTTGCATGAAACAAGCTTTTGCTTTATATGTAGCCATTTAGCTTCTGGTGGGAAAGAAGAAGACAAGAGACAAAGAAATGTTAATGCAAATGATATTTTGTCCCAAACAAGCTTCCCTGCAGGTCCTCAGCAAGATATGCCTCGAAACATTATTGACCATGAGTAAGTTGTTTTGTGATTTTGAATTGCATACCAAAATCCCTAGAAAACAGTAGCAGACCGTGATTTCTTCACACTTCCGTTCATGGTCTGCTACCGTTTTTTTATCTTGAATGTCAACAAAATTAGGAGAGAATTTCATCTGAAATGTGTACTTGGTAACACGCAGTCGAGTTGTGTGGCTGGGAGACTTGAACTACAGGATAGATATGCCACACTTTGCAACACATTCATTGATCAAGAGAAGAGAATGGGGAACCTTGTTGAAACATGATCAGGTAAGGTTTATAAGTTTTGCTCTAGGATACCAAAAAAGTTTAGATGTAATTGCAACATTATTTCCTCTAATTAATATGATGAGTGAGTTTGGTTTCAAGATGTTTAGTCTTTATTTTCAAAATTAAGTACATAGAGGCATTCATATATCAAATATTTTAAAAATCAGATTTCGCTGATTAAATCATGGTTATATATATACTTTTTTCTTTCTAAATTCCATAATTCGTATTCTTACAATATATATTTAGAGGGACTAAACTGCAAAATTATATATTAGTATTTTATTTAGTTACCACAATTTGAGTTCGAGATTTAAATCTGTCTATATAGCTTAAGATGGAGCTTAAAGAGGGTCATGTATTCCAAGGTTGGCATGAAGGAGCTATAGAGTTTCCACCTACATACAAATACCTTCCAAATTCAGATGATTACATAGGATGTGATGAGAATCACATGAGCAGAAAGAGACGCTCCCCAGCATGGTAATCATAGTAACATTTTTTCAAGGATTTTGTATAATGTTTAAGATTTAACATTTTTCCAAGGAATGAAAATTTACTACCCTCTAACCACAAGAAAATACTGCAGGTGTGATAGAATAATATGGTTTGGAAAGGGCATGAATCAAATCCAATATAACAGGAGTGAGTCAAAAGTTTCTGATCATAGACCGGTAAGAGCAATGTTCACAGCTGACATCAAGGTTGCAGAAGCAAATTGTAAATGATTCAAAATTTTGCAGAGGGATTTCATCCAAGAGATTTCGGTTTTAACTGTATACCTTTCTTTGGAAGAGGTTTTAGGACCCTAGAAAGGAGCATATGGTAGCTTAAATCTTTGAGAGATGTGTTTTGTTTTGTTAGATTTTTGTACTTTGAGAACACATAGGGAGCATCTGCTGCTTCCCTATGTGTATACTAAAATGTATGAAGTTTTGGTATCAGAACATCAAACTTAGTATCCTTAGGTAGTTTCAAATGTCAGATGTTTTGGAGTCAGAACAATAAAATTCAATATCCCTAACTTTAGGGTTTTAGGGTTTTGGGGTCAGAACAATAAAACTCAATATCCCTCCCTATGTTTAATATATATGATTACTAGATTTCATTAAAAAAATTTATACTAAAGAACGCGCCAGAACATTTGTACACTACAAACAGAAAATTAGATATCAATAGCTCTCTCAATGTCATTTGAAAAGAGAAAGTATGATTTGTGTGAACTGCAAGGGATTGCAATTTCATTGAAAAATTATCATCATATCTAACCTACAACAAAATACAAGCCGTCCTATTCAATAATTAATACTGGTTTGGGGAAGATCAATGCCAGCTTACTACTTACAACATACGACGGCTGCATGTAACAAGAGTAGATGGCTAAGAAGTAGGTTCGAATGCAGCTTGTTGATGCCAAATGCCGTTGAGATTAGACTGCCATAATCGGACCATTCCATCGTCACCTGTAGTAGCCAACGTCATTCCACTCATATCCCACTCCATTTGCCACACCTAAACAACATTTAACAAAATTTTAATTCAAGCATCTGCATGATGTTTGAAGGAAATAGATGTTATGAATAAAGTTGGAATTATACCATGCCTTCGTGACCAGACAATAGTGCAACTTTATCTACCGCAAGTCTCCCGTTATGATCAGGACTCAATCCTAGATGCCATATTGCAAGTCCCTTGTGAGTTGCGACGGCGATGACCTCATATAGTCTACAAGAAACCATTACTAGTAAGTAGGGGTGGAAATAAGCTGGGCCGAGATAGGCTTGACCAAGCCTAAGCCTGCCAAAAAAACTGAAGCTTAAGCATGACCTGTAACCTCTCATAGGCTTATTTTTAGGTCTGAGTCTGACCTTTTCTAAGGTCTGGTTAGCCTGTTAGCCTACATAAAAACCTATTATTTTAAATAGACTAACAAATTAAAAAACCAATGAGACTAAAAGTTTGTTTACATTGATTTATTTTAACTTACCTATTAGCATAAATTTTGTGAGATTATTTGTTTAAAATAACTTATGAAAATAACTTATAACATTGTTCCTAAGGTGTTTTCATCTTATTTTCATAAGTTCTCCAAGATAACCAACTTTTAGTTATGTATTTTAATTCAAAGTACAAAATATAATATAATGATAACAAAAAAAATATATTCATATTTATTTAAATAGGTCGGTCTGTTAGGCTTAAAATGCTTTTTTCATGGTCTGAGGCCTAGCCTTTTTAACTAAATAAGCTTATAAAAAAGCCTAGGCAAAACTTGGCCTGACCTGATGTAGACTAGGCCCGTAGGCCCCTGTTATCGGTCTGACCTATTTCCACCCTACAACACCCCTACAAGTAAGTAACAAATCACTTTCTTTGACTCCTTAAGAAAATAGTGCTAAAGTCAACCAACTCTCTTGTCTGCACAGCAATCCAGCAATTTGATGCCGACAACAATGCTATGTAAGGTAGTTATAACTAATAGATGTGATTGAAACAATACTAAAATTAAGCAAATTCAACCTGCCAACATTTGGTGCCCATGCGACGGCATAAACCCGATCACCCTTGTCCTCAGGCAGTGCTAATTCTGCCACAGGAAGCCATCTTCGATGAGCCTGGTCAAACTCCCATACCTGCACACAGTAAGCACCATACCGTGGAAAATTAAGATAATGCGGCTCAAATAAAAAGTGAAATAACAGATAAATTTTGGATTAGAGTTAGTTTACCTTGGAAGAATTGAGCTCTGGTGTATCTGAATTAAAACTTACAAGGAAGCTGAATTCCTCGCTACCACACTTTTGTGGGTTCAAAGATATAGACGCAGAGATGCACAGAGCCTTTCCAAATGAAGACACTGATTCAACAACATTTTGAAATTCAGCCTACAAATAAAGAACAGAATAAAAAAAAACGTTGGTTTATTATAAGAAGAATCTTAAGTATCGCATTTCTTAACACAGAGAAGGTAGAACAATCTAAGTTTACCTGAAGCTGCCAGTTTGTCAGTTCCAAGGGATCCAAAAGCTCGAAAACTCTCACATGACCGTCTGAATATGCAGCAACCTTTTCGTGTTCATAAAAATGTAAATGAGTGTTAAATCAAAAGAATATATGTTTCAAGTGTAAAGCATGCTCAGAGATGAAGAATGTTAAGGTGAATCAAATATCTATTATTAATAATGGCCACTTGATATTCAGTTTTTTATAAATAAAAAACATCTGAAACTAACCATTTTTAATCGAGTAAAGGAGATTCCAAATTGTACATCCAGGACTTTGCTCTCGCTGCTTCCGAAGGTTTTACGAATCTTCCACTGAAGAGGCTGTGAATCTATAGGCAATTTATAAACAGACGGGAAAAGAATAGGTTTTCAGCATTGAGTGAAAACATATGAAAAGTTGTGAGCTTTTAACTGAAATGTGAATGAAGAAAACGAAAAAAACAAAGCCACGAGACAAGTAAATGAAGAAACCAAATAAATGATACCTTCAACAATCTCTTCCAACAATGAAACAATTCCATCGGCGGAAACACACGCAACTGCATCACCATACTCTGGCGGAACCCAAACTATCTTCGCAATGTTTCCTTCATGAACCTTCACAGTTTCAGGGGGGGAAACATAAATGTAAAAGAGCTGAGGAGCTTAGGCTTGTTTGGATAAACAGTTTAATTAAAATCTTTTAGCATATGCGTTTATCATATATGGCCTGTTTGTTATAACTTTGACTTGAAGAAAATCACTTTTAAGAAATATATAAATATGATTTCAAGAAAAATCTTCCGATTGTAAGCATTTTGAGAAGAAAAAAATGAGAATCTAAAGGGAAAAAAAAATCTACGAACTAAAAAAACAAAAAGCTGTGTTCAGTAGATTCCAGTGATGTTGATGGTGGTTGGCGGTCCATGGCGGAGAACCAAAATCCTATCATACTGGCCAATTTGTGGTACCGTTTTAGCGGATTATGGCGGAAAACCCGCAATATCAGCTGATATTTACCATTATGGCAAGCCCAAATACCACCATGTATATCCGCCATAGCGAACACAAAAAAACCACTTCTGCTTTTCTCAAAATAACTTATGAAAAATTCTAAATTATTGAATATCAAAATCACTTTTTTTTTATAATAAGTAACAAACAAGCCCTATATAATATATCTATACCTATATATAAAGGGAAAACATGATTTTGGTGTAGCCTTTTTTCTTTCAAATATACCCTTTTCAGTTTTTATTTTAAACTTTAACATCTCTTTCTAACACAAGGTGGTTATGTGACAGTTTGTTAATTTTTATACCATTAATTATATAATAACTTTCATTGAACTATTATTATCATCTTTCACATAACTTCTTACTAATAATTTCTTACATAACTTCCATTTAAATTAAAATTAAATAAAAGAATATCGTGTGTACATTAAAAAGACGGACAGACGGGCACGCGAATGTCCGTCTGGATGCTAGTGTTTATAATGAGAGAACTAAAGGAAATAAACTTAAAACAGCTTATGGAAATGCATAAGTTCTTTTCAAAGGTCTTCTATCACAAGTGCTTGCTTCCACCAATAGATAACCTCAAATATGTTTTTCATCCAAACAATGCCTTTAACATGAAAAGTAAAGACTTATACCCAAACAGGTGAATTTATACACTTTCTCAGTTAAACAAACAAGTCCTATATAAGCTATTTTTTTTAATGAGAGAACGAATAGAAATAAGCAAAAAAACAGCTTATAAAATAAGTGATTCCACTAAGTTCATCCAAACACAACCTTAAAATAAAAAATAAAAAATAAAATTAAGCATTTGAATATTCACTACTATACTATCAGTGCATATAACATCAACAAAAAATTTCAATTGAAAATTAAATTCACCTTAGTTTTGAAAGTAAAGCGAAGCGAGTTAGAAGAAGAAGCTGGATCACGGAAATCGAAGATCGAAAGTGTTCCATCGGTGGAACCAGTAGCGAGTCTCGTGCCAGAGTAGTTCCATGATGAGCAAGTTGTTCCATTGTCAAGGCTCAGCAATTCCTTCGCCATTTAAACTATTTCTCGCTGAAAATCAAATTTCGAAAGAAAAAAAAGTTAATGGCTAAAGCACATTTCTACGACGGAATTTTGTGAGAGGAGTAGGGCGGTGATCGGAGGGGATGATTCGCGGTGGTGGCGGCTGGACTGAGTTAGGTTTGTTTTGTCTCGATTTTTGGGATGGTAAGATTAGAGAAACAAAAACAAAAATGGGTCGGCCCAAATTTGTTTGTTTTTTAAACAGTTTTTTCTTTTCCCACTTCCTTTAAAAAAGAATTTAATTAAAATATCCTGATACAAATAAACATTCAATTAGTTGGATATTAAAATAAAGGTTTAATTTTTTTTTTTAGTGTTTTGACTTAATTTAATATTTTATTTTAGTTTCGTATTTAAAAAATATTATATGTTCTATAATGTTTTATTTTAGTTTTGAATTTAAAAAACGTTACATGTTATTCCTTTAAAATAATTTTGTTAATCTAATTAATTATTTCTGTTAAATTTTTAAAAAAAAATGTTAACTTTTGATAAATTTTTATATACTCATAATAAGTAGTTTGATATTGGTACCTTTGGTGTAAATTTATTTAAAATACTAATTTATTTTTAAATAAATTATTAAAAAATTTACATGACATTGAATAAGAATATTTTATTAGATGAGGGTATTAGTACCCAAATGAATTCAAGGATACCGAAGTGTTCACCTACTTTTACCTACATGACAATTTAGGTGGATTATATTATCTACGTGGGTTTAATTTTTTGAAACTATTTGGTTTTATTGCCCTTCTTTATTAACTTCAGAATTCTTCTCTTTCTCTCTTCTCTTTCCTTTCCCAAAATCCTAGCAGCCATCTTCTTCTCTCTTTCTCTCTTACAAATTCTTCATTTTCTTCCGATCTTTAATCCAATATTTCTCTACACAAAATCAACATTTCAAGCACACATAAACAAATTCCAACCCACCTTCCATAAAATCACCTTCAACCTCTTTAAAATATCTCCCAAACCCTTCATAAACCATTGACTCGCTGCTACTATTATCCCTCAAAACAATGTCTTACCCATGAAAACCCTAACTTAATCAGTGAAAGAGTTGGTCGGAGCAGTTTCGTGCCCTTGGTTCCTCACTTCACCTTTGTATTGCCTTGATTGTCGGTGGTATGTATATGCTTAGACAGATTAAAGAGTTGATCGCCCGACCCCACCTTGTTATCGCTACTCCCAAAAGAATCAATGTTTTGCTCGAGGATAATCTTAAAATCGCTCCCATTTTTTCCAGGACTAAGGTAATGATCATGATGAATTTGGTGAATAGTTTGTTCCCTTTGTGAGGGCAAAGCCTCATATATAGATGTGCTCGTTTTGATGATGTCAAAACTCAGCTTCATAGAAAAATATATGTTGGACGTTGTCACCATATTGTATTTGCATGTCTTGTCTCTCATAATTCAAATGCTCGTAAAAATCACGATTATTGCATATAGATAGCCAAATATGTGTGTCATATAGGGTTGACTTAGTTGGTGTTGTTTGTCATACTACAGGTTTCATCAAAAGTGTCGTAAAGCATGAAAATAGGCATTTTTTATTGTTTCAGGGCTTTGAGTCAACCAAAAACCTGCTCCGGTCGACGCACAATGCAAGTTTTTTTAGTGCATTAGTCTTAGAAGGGCTCACGTCGACCCTCCGGTCGACTCATACTATAAGCATTTTCGTTTGGCTAAAAATGCATGCTATGCGTCGACGCGTGCTATGCTTCGGTCGACGCATGGTCCTGTTTTCTGCACAATCTTACTTTCATGTCTGCTCAGGTATACCCCCTCTATTGCATAGGTCGAACGCTCGCTGTTTTGTGTCAAAATTCTATTATGTCAACTGTCTTTCTGAATTGGTTTTGTTTGTTATGTCAGTTATGTTTGGTATATAAGTTCAGTTGTTCTTTCATCTCATAACACAATTGAGAAAAATAAGAAAAGTGAAATAGGTGTCGATTTGGTTCTCATCATTTTCATTCTCTTCATAGCATTTCACAACAATTACACATAATCATCTTTGTTGTGTATTGTGCATGTTCGAGGTGATAGCGTCCAAAGCCGAAGATTGGTTTATCTGGTTTGGGTTGAGTAATCGACAAGTTTTTCTTGAATAAAACCGTTAGGGTTTTGTCCTTCAAGAATCTCATATTTTGGGAGTTTTTACACGATTCGTCCCATCGCATATTCAGCTGAGTGAAGGTAATCGAAGAGCTAGAGGTTCTGTCGATTTAGTAACGGTAAACGGAGGATTGTGAGTGGGAGATTCGGGTTTGACACGCGGGTGATTGAAATCAGTCGGGACAGATTTTGAAGATCGAAGGTTGTTCAAAGAGAGTTCCGCAATCGGAGGTTTATTTACAGCGTTCGAAGTACTTGATTCAACTTGAATCAAGGGGCAAGAAGAAATAGGATCTACAACAACAATTGTGTTTGTTTGTTTGATAGCTATTTTCTTCTTGTATAAACATTGACCAATAGGTTATATCTATCTATATATAGGTCTCAATTCTATTGTTAGAATTGAGGGCAAACGTATCCCGAGCGAGGACGACGGGGGAACTGCCTCAACAAATCGTTGTGTCTTTTTCTTTATGTTTATATTGCTTAATATTTGTGTTTGTAGTGCAAACGATTATATCAATCTAGTTGTTATTTGAGTTGTGCTGAACTAATTTTGAACCTAGTACAATCATTGATTGTAAGAGAACTTGAGCACCTAACTCTCAAAACATAAATCAATTGTAGTGCTCTGCACTCCAAGTGTTTGATAAATTGTGTGAACTAAAATACCTTGTGTGTTGTCTTTTCATATTGTCAATATTTTAAAGGCATTGGAACTAGTCACATCGTATAGTGAGCATAATCAAATTGAAAGTGTGATTAACGTAGTAATTCTCATATCTTGTTTATCAGATTCCATAGGCTTAACGCATATCCAGTTTTATAGTAACCGTTCGTTTTAGACGTGTATAGTTCCTCGACCGCTTCCGCTATTAAACAAATTTTAAAAACCATTTTTATTGGTAGCGCCGACTCCTTTAAGCAAGCGATCTATTCAACCACCCCTTCTAGATTTGCGCTATCGTCTAACATCCTTATTTTGTTTGTGTTGTTGTGTTTGTTTTGATGTGCTAATGTTGTTGATTTTAGGCCGATTTTGTATAAGAAATTTAATTGACTGAGTACAAAAGTTTCCCATGATTAGAATCTCTTTCACATGTTTGAGTAATCAAACTTGGATGCATTACTTGCATGATTATATACTATGAATGTTTATTTATGCATTTCTTTGTTTTAGAACATTATAAATAGATTAAACATTGTTATGATTATGCTCAAATTGACACTTGCTTTGGTAGTTTCTTGTCTTGGATGAAGCAGATCGAGTCTTGGATGTTGGGTTTCAGAACGAATTGAAATTTATCTTTCAATGCTTACCAGAAAGCCGACAAACCCTATTCTTTTCTGCAATCACAACTAGTGATTTGCAAAAGTTGTATGAGCGCTATCAAGATAAGTTGTATGCCTTCGAGGATTTACTGATGGGAGATCACCCAAGTCCTTTGTGGTGCCTTCAACAGGATTTACTCCGGATAATAGCCCTGTTAATTGAATTTCTTCTAGTTCTTATGCCGCATGCTCCTTGGTGAAACCATTATCCACTTTGATGGTTCCACTTGTGTTATTACTTATCAAGTTGTTGATCCTCTTGCATTGTAATCTTGTCAATTTTGTGGTGAATTTAATTATGTGTTTGCCACAGGTGCTCCTATCTATTGTAGTCGCTAGTATTCATTTCTACTCTTTAACTAATTGTGAATCTGGAAAACTAATTTGTGTAGATTTAATTTATTGTATTATGTAAACAATGGATGAGAAAAAAATGGTGCATTTTTAGCTATGTCAATACTGTCAATTTATTTTGAACAATATGTGAAAGCAAAAACTTAATGTTCAAAGTTAATAAAACCAGGATTGCATCCCATATTTCCTTCACTTTTAGCCTTGATAAATTGCAGTATAACTTTATAGTTTAATTGGTCGTTGTGCAGAATCATCTCATCAAATGTTTTATTAATCCAAAATTCTATGAAATTGTTACAAATGCAGTGTAATTGTAGTTTGATTAACTTTTTTGATTTGGTCCCTTAAATAATTATAAGGTTTCAATTTGATCCTTTTGCTGAGTCATTACACAATTGACACGTCAACCTGGCAAAAACTAACGTTTTCTCAACAACTAACGGAAGGGACTAACATTTTTAATGGAACTAATATTACGAGATCAAACTGTAACGGTTTTTTTATTAAGGAACTAAAGAGGAACTTTAAATTAACTTATGGGACTTGAGGACTAATTATGACTAAAATAAATATGATTTTTATTTTAACCACTTATAAAGTAATGTAAATAGATGATAGTGATGAATTAACTGTGTACAATTTTTTACACTGTCTCACAGTAATTAATTTTAGAATTTACTTTTAAGCTTGAATCTATAAACAAATGTATGAGAATTTAATTTGTCACCCTCCAAACTTTCATAATCTTAAATTTGTCTTTGAAAAAAATTTGAAACAAGTGAAAATTTTTTACTATCGAAAATTTTATTTTTTTAATTAGAAATTTTGAAAATTTAAATACTGTATCAGAAATTTTGAAATTTCTTATAATGTAAAAAAAAATTATTATTTTTTTTAAATTTTAAAATTTTCAATAGAAAAAATAAAAAAATTCCAAAATTTTCTGTACATATTACAAATTTTCAATAAAAATAGATAAATTAAAACAAAAACAATTTTTACAAAAGGGTGATAAAAGCACTCTAAATGAGAGTTGACAGGTACAAGTGGGGGGTGCCAAATTAAATCCATTAAACATAAATAATTCATTAAGTCAGATAAAACCATTGTTTGCTTATTTTATATTTATAAAATAGATTTTGTTATATTTTCAAAAATAATTTTAATAAAAATGTTTTACAAAATATTTTAATTTTTTTTATAAATTAAAAGGTTAATTTTAATACTTTATAATATAAATATATATTATTGAAGATCAAAACATAGTCAAAATCATAATTTTTTAAAAAAATTTCATCTCAAAAATAATTTTCATGAAAAACTATTTGAAGTAATTTTAGATTTAAGTGATTTTTTAAAATTTTATATTTTAAAAAATTATAACAAAAGAATAAAACATCTAAAATAACATTATATGAATAACATTTTAAATCAATTTATTGTTTGAAACTTTTTTCTATATTTTTTATTTAACAAATTTCAATAATGTTACAGTATAAAAATCATTTAAAAAAAAAACATTAATAAATAGGCCCTCATTAGTTATCTCAAACACAATAATAAATTATGAATAAATACACCTCTGCCTCTTTCTCGTCTTTCATTTTTCATTTTCATTTGTAAATCTCTTCTACTTCATTCAAGATTTTCCTTCATCGAATGGTGCAAGTTTCTCCTTTTCTACCACGAACCAGACTAGTTTATAGAAAAAAAGAGGGGTAGGTGTTGGTGTGACCTTGAGTTGTCATGGATGATATCATAAACTTAAAAGAATCTTTAAAATATGTTTAATGGTTGTGATCGTTTTAATGTGAGAAGGAAGAAAAGCAAGTAACTATGTTAAATTGTTTGATGATGAGAAATTCAATTGCACAAAGAATGTTATTAGATCATTGAAAAACAATAATGATAAGCTTATTCAGATTATGAGTGATTCAGAGAAAAATGAAAAATAGTTGAAAATAAATAATAAATTTATGAATTATTTTTTTTGAGTGTTTTTACTGCTACTTGTTATGTAATGTTTGTGTCTATATTTTAAAATAGTATATTATCTCTATTTTATATTATAAGTAAATTTCACTCTTTAAATATATAGAATAATTATTCAACGTATCTAAAAAGTAAAATTTACTTATAATATAGAACATAGTATTAGTAAGAAGAGCAAGATGGAATTGGGAGTGTTAGTAAGAAGAGCGAAAATGAGATTGGAAGTGTCATATGTCGGTACTATGGTGACGTCGTGAAAGAAGATGCCCTCCATGTTCTTAGGGATTGTCTGTTGGCTATGCCTTTTTGGTAAGAGCCGGTGCATACTAACATGCGCTTAAGTTTTTAGGTTGGGATATCAATGATGAGTGGAAGTGTGTGGATCACAACGTGCTATAACTTATGTAATAGTTTGACTGTTAATAGAGAGAAGCAGAAGGAGAGGATTCATGTTAAGTGGGAAGCTCTTAGCGTGGGGAGAGTTAAACTTAATACGGATGGAGCTAGAGACAATCGAGAGATAGCTGGTTGTGGAGGCATTTTAAGAAGAAATGAAGGTGAGTGGCTTGGTGGTTATGCTAAGCATATAGAAAATTGTGAAGTGTATATTGCTGAGTTATGAGGTGTACAGATTTGCATATCAAGTGGTGATAAATATCAATAGTAGTTATACCAGAAATAGCGGGGAGAGAAATCATCAAGAGAATTAGGACTTTTTTTCAAGTTGATAAAGATCAAAGTTACTCATGTGAAAGGAAATTAATCTTTGTGCGGATGCTCTTGCAAAGAAAAGAATTCAAACTAAAGACTGTGTTTTCTTTAAATTGTATCCTTCGTATGTTCGAAAGTTTTATGAAGATGACCAAACAAGATCCTCTAATATTATATTGGTTTCTGTTTAGTTTTCTTCTTGGGGCTTAGACCCTCTCTTGTATCCAAAAAATAATAATAATAATACAAGTGTGTTGTTGTGTCTGTAATGTGAATGAATTAATCAAACAAATTTTTTTTTTTTTATGCAAATGTAAGTACTAATGCAGAATAACAGAACCAAAATTTTCAGAACCTGTACAGATGGATTTGTTACATTTCGGAAACAATTTGCATAACCATAATGAATTTTCAAAACCAAAATTTTCAGAACCTCTACAGATGGATTGCTACATTTTGTATACATTTTAGCATAACCATAATGATTTTTCAGAACATATACAAATGAATTTTCAAACCTATACAGATGAATAACTATGGTGTATAATGCATTTTAACAGGTTTACAATACATTTTAGCATAACATGTATGCGTCAGTAATGCATTTTAGCAGCAGATTCATCACGCTTCATAATGCATTTTAGTAGAACCATAATGCATTTTGGCATAACTTGTATGAGTCATAACCATAACAGAATCTGCTACTCTATACTATATAGCACCGACACTCCTAAAAAAAAGTTAGTCCGTGTCTGTGTCAGACACTTATACCGACACTTGTGATTACATTTAATTTATTCTCTTTTTCAAATGATATCCAGAATCGCCGTGTCTGTGTTGGAGTCGTGTTTGGGATGTCCGTGCTTCATAGACTCCGTATGTGTCATAATGCATCTTAGGATAACATGTTTCCAATGGTGACATAACTCTGTATAAGATTTGTTGTCTGAGTTCTCACTTCAGAACATTATGGCGAAAATTGATCCACTTATTGTTGTTGTTATTTTTGTTGTCTGAGTTTTCTAAGAATAGATAGTCAATAAATTCTTCAATTCTGCAATACAAATTGAAAAGATTGAAGTAGGAAAGAAAGACCTGCAAAAAAAAAATTGTTGAATCACAAACTTGATAGCAAGACATAAATAACTTGAAAAGGAATTGGGGAAATTATTAACAAACATCCAAACAAATTCAACATTAATCACTACAACTGAAATCAAAACAAAAGAAATTGGATTTTATTTTCTTCTTACAATACCTCTAGCGACCAATAGTTTTTCATAATAATAGGAAAAGGAAACAACAGTTTCAATGCTAAATATTTTGAACTACAGAATAAGAACCAAGAAAGTACCTTCCATCGACCAAATGTTTTTTGCATATGTTGCACTAAGGTGACATTCATATAGGCCACAATGGCTGAATAGACAGGAAGTGCATATGCATCACTCCCATTGTTGCTTTTCTGGAATTGCCAAACAGATAATAAGAGATACAAGTTATTATAAAAGATTAAGAAATGGAAATTTGATATTAGATATAGTATATCGAACCCCAAGCCGTGTGTTGACTAACTGATGTCTGCAGAGCTCCTGAGTAGGATGCTTACTCCTTCGGAAAACTTTCACCATTTAAAAATATGGAAGACTTCAACATCTCAAATTGGTGATAAGAAAACATTATGTTTTCCTATGTGTTCAATCTGTGCTTCATTCTTCACACATTTATCTGGAAAAATCACCTACATTCGATAACAGGTTACTCTCCGAATTGAACATAGCACAAAGTAGGAAAGACCCACGTGCAGTGTAACTTAAACATCATAAAAATAAAATAAAAGAAGTCATTGGATCCTATCAAAAAATCTATAATTTAAATTAGGTCAGTGTGGCAGTGCCACGTCACTAAATTTGGTGACTAGGTTTGCTGAGGAACTAAAATCATGGAATCTTCAAATGGCAGGGACTAGGGAGAAAATTAGTGTTTTTTTACAGGGTTTTTCCAAAAATGACCAATTTAGCAGGGGAAAAATAGGTTCCAATGACTGCATAATTTAAATCTACAATCGACAAAGTGCACAATTTTCCTATCTAAATAATTCATTTCAAAAAACGGTAGCAAATCTGGCAGTTATGTTACAGATGCAGCAAAACAGTAGATGGACCATTAATCTGACATTAACTATAATTTGAATAAACTTATGTGTCCCTAGTATTTGTTAACTACATCTAGTGCGTATGGAAAATCTCAGTTGGTATTTAGTATTCCAACTTCATTCAAAGCATTAATAAGTGTAGTTACCGACAACACCCTTTTAATCAAAATATGCTTCGAAGATATTGTGTACTGTTTATTCCAACTTCATATAAACATTTAGTAAGTATATTTAACTGTACTCACAATAACAGTTTCCTCTGCTAACGATAGGCTGAAACAAGGCCGTTGTTGTATAGATGTTCACTTGTGCAAAGTGAATCTAGGTAATTGAGAACATCAGGAGGTGGACCACTGTCACGAATCAGATTAACAAGCTGCCACACATACGAGATTCTCTCAGATTTGAACAAGCCGTCAAAAAGTATCGTGTAAGTTGCAACATCAGGAACCAAATTTTTCAAATACATTTCTTTGAGAAGATTCATGGCTTCGTCTATTCTTTTACTCTTGCAATATCCATCGATCATGATGGTATAACACAAAACGTCAGGTTCCAAACCTCTTCTAATCATTTGATTAAATAAAAAAACCGCATGGTCAAGATGTTGACTTTTCCATAAAGCATCTAACATGATACTATAAGTGATATTATCCGGGGGTGGACCATAATCATGCATATTATTAAGAAGCTTCCATGCACATGGTATTCTCCCAGATCTGCATAAGCCATCAACAAGACAACTATAAGTTACAATATGAGGAACCAAATTCTTAAGATGCATTTCTTTCAATAGATTCATGGCCTCACCCATTCTTTGATTCATGCAAAACCCATTAATCAAAATAGTATAAGTCCAGACATCAGGCTCCAAACCCCTTTCCACTAGTTGATTAAACAACAAAATCGCATGGTCAAGACATTGGCTTTTACACAAAGCATCTAACAAGATACAATAAGTAACAATATCAGGCATCAAACCACTATCGTGCATTGTCTTAACAATCTCCCAAGCCCGCGAGACTCCCCCAGATTTGCAAAAAGAATCAATCAAAGAATTGTAAGTAACAACATTCGGAACCAAGCCCACACGACGCATTTCATTATAAACTTTCATAGCATCATCCAATCTCTTAACCTTACAATACCCATGAATCAAAACATTACAAGTCCAAACGTCAGGCACAAAACCCCAATCAACAACCTTATCAAACAACTCCCTAGCCTCATCCACATTACCATTCGAACAATACCCACCCATCAAAGCAGTACAAGTAACAACATTAACCTCATAACCTCTCTTAACCATTTCATCAAACACCTCTCGTGCTTCCACTAACATACCCTTTTTACACAACCCATCAATCAAAACCGTAAAATTATAAACACTCACATACAAACCCTCCCTAATCATCTCATCCAACAACCCAAAACCTTCCCTCACTCTCCCAACACCACACAATCCACGTATCAACGATCCATACGTAAACTCATTCAGAGAAACACCATTAACCAACATTTCATTATAATAAAACTCACAAGCCTCATTCACAAACCCATTTCTACACAAACAATCAATAACAGTACTATACATAACAACATTACCCTTGACAAAAAAGCAATTTTTCTCAATCATTCTCAACAAATGAATAGCTGCATTAACTCTCCCTTCTCGACACAACCCATTAATCAAAATCCCATAACTAACTTCATTCAAGTCAAACCCTTTATCAACAAGCTCATCGTGAAACTCCAACGCCTTGGAAACTTTACCACTAACGCACAAACCTTTGATAAGTGCATTTAGTGTTACAGTATCTAAAACGTAACCGCGTTTGAGAATCTTACCGAAAACGGAGAATGCTAGAGAGACACGACCCAGATGAGAGAAAGAGGTTATTAAGATTGTGAGAGTGATTATACAAGGGGTGATAGTTTTGTTGAATTCGATTTGGTTGTAAAGGTATATGGCGGTTAGGTGTTGGTTGTTGTTTGTTAGGAAAGTTAGGTGTTTGTTGAATGAAGATGTTGTTGTTGTTGTTGCGGCGTGGTGGTGGTGGGTGGTGGTGGTGAAGGTGGAAATCGGAGGAGATGGATGGAGGTTGAAGGAGTGGAAGTGGAAGGTTCTGGTGTAGCGGCGTAATGTTCTATTCATGTTTTACTGGCGCACTTGTTCAGTGGCCAGTTGATGAAGCAGTTTTTTTTATTACACCACCAGAGAAGTGGTTTTGACTTTGAGGTAAATTTTGGGTTAAGGTGTTTGCATGTGGTTTTGGAAATGATATCTCTAGTAAAAGTGGTTTTTTTTTCCTTCTTTTTTTTTTTTTTTTTTTTTGAGTCTCTAACAATTTTGAAATAGGAAATGATATCTCTACACAAAAACTACATTATACTCTTTTGAAATGTATTATTATTTTCTTTTGTAATACACCTTCCAATTTCAATGTTGTTTCAATTTTAAGTTCTTTTTCACCATTGACGATAGTTAGAGTTTTTGTATTCAAGATTTTCTAATTTTTTGATTTTGAATTTGTGTCTGGTTATTTGAATCGTTCATAATTTGTTGAGTTTTAATCATTGTCGACAAGGGTAGTTTTATGGTTCGACGGAAATTGTGCATGTTATAGTCGAAATCTGTTCAAACATGTTGTCAAAATATGTTAGCTTTGTGTCTAAGTTAGCATGTCGGATTGGGTCTTACTTGTAAACCCAATTGTTAAGTTAACATGTAGCTTAAGTTAGCTTAGTGGCCTATAAATAGACTAGTTCTCTCAGGTTGTAGAGAGGTTAATTATTGTTATTCACTTGTAATTTTTAACCATTTTGAGAAAGTGAATAGTAAAATAATTTTAACTAATTCTTATTCTTCTTCTTCCTTCTTCTCTCTCTCTCTCTCTCTCTCTTTCGTAAAACCTAATAGAGTTTCTTGTATTGTTCAAGAAACTCAATATTTACCTCATAATTTTGTTCTGTTATTGACGATATCGTTTCACAACAAACTGGTGCAGTGAGCGTGGATGAAAAGATGTCGTTAATAACGTATGAGATTGAGAAATTCACTAGTGTGAGTGATTTTGGTTTGTGGTGCTTGAAGATGCAAGCTCTTCTTGTTCAACAGGGTTTGTTAGAAGCGTTGAAAGGATCGAAGAAGATGGACGATTTGCCCTATCGGAGAAGGAGAAGACAATGATGGTCAAAAAAACCCACAATGTCATTGTATTGAGCCTTGGTGATAAGGTTCTCGGGCAGGTTTCAAAGAAGAAAACTGTAGCTGGTGTGTGGATAAAACTTGAAGGTTTGTACATGACGAAGTTGTTGGTTAACCGTTTCTTCCTGAAGTAAGCTTTGTATTCATTTAAGATGACTGAAGATAAAGTCTTGGCTGAGCAGTCGGATACGTTCAACAAGTTGATTCTTGATCTTGTGAATATCGAGGTCAAGATTGATGACGAAGATCAAGCATTGTTACTATTATGCTCGTTACCTAAGTATCATGCTCACTTCAAAGAAACTCTTTTATATGGAAGAGAGTTGTTGACCTTTGAAGATGTTCAATCTGCCTTGTACTCTAAGGATTTGAACAAACAAAAGGAGTAAAAGTCATCAATAGTTTGTGAAGGTTTATCCGCTAAGGAGAAATTCTTGAAGAAAGATGGTAAGTTTGAGAAGAATAAGGGTAAAGTTCTACAAAATTCTTATGGTGATAATGCTACTACTATTAAGTGTTATCATTGTAAGAATGAGAGTCATACAAGAAAAATATACCTTTATCGATTGAACAATCATGGTGGAAAGAATAATGGTAATGCAACCATTGTTCAAGATGGTTATGAATCATCTGATGTCTTAGTGGTTTTAAGCAGCGACACTAGTAAGGAATAGATTATGAATTCAAGGTGTACTTGGCGCATGACTTCAAACAAAGACGTGTTTGAAAAATTGTGTGATTAAGATGGTGGATCAGTGTTGCTGGGAAATAACAAAGCTTGCGAAATTTCAGGTATTGGATCTGTGAGATTCAAGTTCCATGATTAGTCAATAAGGTTATTGACTAATGTTAGGTATATATCTGATCTTAAGAGGGATTTAATTTCTCTTGATGAATTCGACAAGAAAGGATATGCTTTCAAAGGAGAGCAAAGTATCCTAAGGATAATAAGGGGTTCGAAGGAAATCTTGAGAGGCGTGAAGAAATAAGGCTTATATACCCTTGAGGCTGTGGTTGTAAGTGATTCAGCAGATGCGGATCCATAATACATGTATCGAAAACTGAGTTATGGCATAAGAAACTTGTTCATATCAATGAAGGAGGCCATGTCAAATTATCGAATCAAAATTTGTTGTATGGTGACAAGGTTGAAAAGCTAGAGTTTTGTGAACCTTGTGTATTTTGTAAATCATGTAGAATAAAGTTTAACGAAGGTAAATAAAGAACACATGGATCCCTTGATTACATTCATGCTGATCTTTGAGGATCTGTAAGGAATCCTTCACACTCAGGTGCAAAGTATTTTTTATAAGTTGATGATTACTCTAGAAAGTTATGGGTATTCATCCAGAAGAATAAGGATAAAACTTTTGAAAATTTCAAAAGTTGGAAGAATCTAATTGAAAACCAAACTGGCAGGAAGGTCAAGAGGTTTAGGATGAAAAATGGTCTTGAATTTTACAATGAGGCTTTTGACAGCTATTGCGTTACGTCTAGTATTACAAGGCACATAACTACTACATGTACTCCCCAACAAAATGGTTTAGCTGAAAGGTTTAATTGAACCATTTTGAAAAGGGTGAGGTGCATGTTGATAAGTGCAGGATTAAAGAAAGTGTTTTAGGCAGAAGTTGTTGTGATTGTTGCATACCTGATAAATAGGTGTCCTTCGACAGTCTTGGGAATGAAGACACTTGAAGAAGTCTAGTCAAAACATTCACCTAATCTCGAGAGACTTAGAGTATTTAGATGCTTAGCCTATGCTCATATTAGGAAATACAAGGTCAAACCTAGAGCTCTGAAATGTATGTTCCTTGGATACCCTGAAGGAATCAAAGCTTATAGGTTGTGGTGCCTAGAGTCAGGTTATAGGAGGTGTATCATAAGCTGAGATGTAGTTTTCAATAAATCTAGGATGGCTTTCAAGAAAAATGATGACACTGGTCAAAGTTCAAAGATCTCTGAAGAAGAGTTGGGACAAGAAGAGATTCTTGTTGAGGTGGAGCATAATGATGCTGAATTGCATGACCCAGATGAAGTTGAAGAAGAAGTAGAAGTTATTGTCGAAGTTGAGGAGACTAATAATGACTACATGTTGGCAAGATACAAGTGGAGAAGATTCATTAAGCCACCTCAGAGACTTAGCTATGCATACTTCATAGCTTATGCCTTAGTCCCTGCAAGTGAGGTTCTGGACAAAGAACCTAGAGACTATAAGGAAGTTATGAGGAGTTGAGACAAGACTAAATGGCCGAAATTCATGGACGATGAGATGAAATCTTTTCATGATAATAACACTTGGGATCTGATTAAGAAACCTGCCAGAGCCAAGTTAGTCAGCTGTAAATGGATATTCAAGGTTAAAGAAGGAATCGAAGTGTCGCTACCGCGAAAATAAGGTGCCGACAAAACAGAAGAGTCGCCACCTTTCGTTATTTATCCCTCAGAACGGGAAAGGAAACAATCGGAAAAAACCTGACGAAAAGGTATAAGACAAGGCCATCGCAACCATTGTCTGGATTTGGGAGTCGGTTACGCAAGGGGAAGGTATTAACACCCCTCACATCCATCGTACTCGATGGGATCCATGCTTGTTGTGTTTACGGGTGAAAAAACAATCTATCTACAGCTTCTAGGGCTAAACGGCAAGAAACCGACTCGATAGAGCATCGCGCTCTATGCCTACGTATTCCCTCGTGCAATGGGAAAGTCAGAGTCAACGTAGTTCGGGAAACTACGGGGGGAGTTTGCTCGCCGAGATATCGCATCTCGTGCCTACGTACTTTCACACGGCGTGAAAGATCAGAGCGAACGTAGTTCGGGCTAACTACGACTTACCGGGGTGTTCTCGATCACACAGGGGTGAGAGAAAGGATTGACGATACTAGCGTACGCATTCTAGCAGTTAGGTGTATGTTGTTCGCTCGACGGAGACTTAGGCATTACCTGTTTGCGGTAGAACGAACGTAGTATGTCGGGTTTTAAAGGTATGGGAACCTACGGGTCTTAGAACTACGGTCTGGTCTCAATTGCGCTCGGGCAAGAGAAAGGGAACATCAGTCGTTAGCGGGAAAGTCTCGATCGCACGACAGCGAGAGAACAGAGAAGTTAGTTGTTAGTGTGCTCGCTAGGATATCGCATCCTATGCCTACATATTCTCGTCTGGTACGAGAAATCAGAGCAGCTGTAGTTCAGCTAACTACAGCAAAGGGAAAAGGGAGAAGGGAGCTCGCTAGGATCATCGCAATCCTATGCCTACGTACTCTCGTCTGGTACGAGAGATCAGAGCAAACATAGTTCGGCGCTACAGAAAAGCAAGTCTCGATTGCACAGGGGCAAGAGAAGGGGTCTCAATCGCCTAAATGCGAGAGAAAAGGGTTTCGATCGCACGGGGGCGAGAACAAAGAGAAAGCCGGCTTAACACGCCTAAACGGGAAGGAACTCGGGACACACACGCAAGAACCTAATACGTAAGAGCGAGTGCATCGTATATCACCTGAGGGATATATACTAAACACTCTAAACGATCGAGGGGAGACCGCTTGATTGTCATTTCACACGTATCTAACGCTGCAGCTCACAACACTCGACGGTTGCACGAAGACTTGAAGATGAAAGATGACGTTGAACGAAGCGGCTTCGTTGGCTTTTGACATGCGCGCAAGCTCCATTCCAATCTTCTCCTCTCCGGATCCTTGATGATGACGCTCGAACCAGAACCAATGTAACGCTTAGACCGTCATGGTTTGACTTATACGATAAATCCAACCCTAAGAGGTAGCGTATTGATGTCCGTGTCAAAGACAAGATAGAGAAATTATATCGAAAATTATTCTCCAATTGAATCATGTCACACGGCCAGGCAAAAATAAAATCAACAGTAGAATCGGATAGAAAAGAAATGAGGAGAGAAATCCAATGACAAAAATGGGCATAAAATGCTACTC